CCCCCCCCCCCCCGAAATTTCTCAGCAGATTTGGGCTGTACTCAGCAATCGCAGTACAGCCTCAAAATCGGACCTTAAAAAAAACAGTTGATGGCTCTCTTTTGGCTGGTGGGCAGACCGCCGACCGGTTGGCTGCAAAACAGTCGGGGGTGCCTACCGTAGCTAAACAGGCATATGGGCGAGCCTTTCCCAACTCGGACAAGAACAGATTTGAAACATGAAGCAAAACAACTGCAGCTTTGAACAGCCACCAGACCTTAACTGTACATAAGCTTCTGATGAGATGCAAGCACAAACGTCCTCCAGCCCTTCGTGGATAGGAACACACCTCTGTTTGCAAGGGCCAAAAGAGATGCCTTCGGTAGCCAGGGACGAAAGATGCATCTCTGCCTGTCCACAGTCACTGACATGAAAGGTCACGTCAATGCAGCATTGATGTAACACTCCCATAGATGAGCTTCACAAACTGCTGTATATATCTATCCATAACAATATTGCGCCTCGTGATACCCATGGCAGCCAATTCTTCATCCATTAACAGGGGGACTATGACCTTCCGTGGCTGTAACGGAAAGACATCTTTGCTGGTCGCCTGCAATTGTTCATCCTAAAGACTGCACGGGTCCACATACATTTGTTAGGAAGTTCTCCTTGCTCACATGCACAGCATGCAGGGGAGCGAGTGAAGACACAAATGAACAAAAGAGTGACGAGGACGCACCATATCATGGAAATTCTTCTTCGCGGTAAATGTCATAGTTTTCTGGATAATTTTAAGGAACTGCTTGATGTAGTACAGAACAAAAAGGCCACAATCACAGTCGTTCTCCTGTTGAGGTACCTGCATACAACAAAGGAATCAATCGGACACCATTGAGCACGGTTCAGGGGAAAACAGCTGGCTTCCAACCAGTTGGCCCTAACCAGCTGACCGTTCGGCCAGTCCAGGGGCACCAATCAGCAGGTGCCGATCCACCACGATGGCCCATTTCTTTTTCCTTTTGCTGCTTCTTTTTCTTGCTCTTTTTCTTCTTCATTATCTTCTTCGTTTTCTTCTTCTTTTTCTTTCTTCTCCTTCTCCTCCGCCTTCACCACAGTTATTTCAAAGACAAGTTTTTGGTTTATTGAGCTCTTTCAGATCTGTTCATTAATTTCGCTTCTATAGCGCCCTCACCTCCCCAATCGGGCAGAATTTTGCTTGACTTCGCTGTTCATAAAGCTTTTGCCCCCTCGTCCATTTTCCTTTTTTATTTTCAACGACGAAATTTTCAGAGAATCTAACAGTGAATAGAATCATCTCTGTATCCCTTACAACCTTACGCAGCCCAATTTACAAGCGACATCCTAGTTTTCAGAACTACAAGATACCCGACGATCGGTTGCGGATCAGTTGGCAGTTTGCATCGGCCATCGTGCGAGACTCAGGCCTCGGTAAGCCCGACTGGACCCTGTATCAGCAACAACGGCCGCCCTAAGTGAAGGCAGGCCTACTGGACCCTGTATCAGCAACAACGGCCGCCCTAAGTGAAGGCAGGCCCTGGGCCAGACACGGGGCGTGAACTGAACACAGGCCGCTGGCAGTTGGACACGGGTAACCACCCCAGGCCCTGTGGAAGATTCCCCGGGACGGGCTCAGCCACTTGGGCCCTACCGGAAGCTTCCGTGGGGAGGCCCAGACCAGCCAGGCAGCCCACGACTGGCAGCCTCATTCCATAAAGGAAAGGGCCTGGCTGCTGGCTAACATTCGGGCACTCACTGCTTATGCGCAAGCGCTGCTGCACCAGCTGCTGGAGCGAGTGCCTACACGCTCACGGGCGAGCAGGGAAGACGCAGGCAGCCATAGCCAAGCTGGCCTGCGCGTTGCTGGATGGGGTGCATGGTGGTCCTTGGGTGCACGTGGCATCTGTGTGGGCGATCGAGGCTGTGAGCGAAGCGTGAGACATACCTGGTGCTTGAGGCGAAGTGCATTGGCCGAGATCTGCTCATACTTCGGGGAGCTGTTGACGTCACCAGCGGCATTGTAGATAGGCTAGACAGGATCTGCCATTCATAGTCTGGGCGCGAAGCGCCAGATAGGGATTCGACATTGGTTCATCGTTGATGATGATGAGACTATTCCAACATTGTCACTTGTGCGCTTTTGCTGTGCTCTTATTTGGTGGAACTCAAGTTGCAATTCTGCTTTTGGTTCGAGGTCAAGACTATCTGGTTTCATGTGTATGATGCCGCTTGGTTTCTGGAATTCGCTATCGCTCATTTTCCTTGCAATCGGCTGACATGCCAACAAGATGATTGTTTGACACCGAATTGAGGACATATTCGGTCGAATGATGTAAATCTCATTCATCCTGATTGTTTACCAGCGGATTGAGAGCATAACCAGTCATTTCCGTCACATGATTTTGAATCTCATCACAAATGGTTAACGGGGAACCCCAACTCAGGTTGGCTACAGGCAAGGTAGCCAAAAACTCAGGTCGGCATCTATGATGCAGAGATCGGCATAACTCAGAACTGGCAAGGCGACAACAAAGCGTTTGGGGTCTGGAAAACCAGGAAGCCTCCAGCACCATGCTTTCATGATGATCTCCTAGAGAGCAAAAAAGGAAAGCTGACATCGAGGATGAAAGCCAGAAGGCGTCCATGCCAAAGGAGTGACTATCCTTACTTCCCATGCAGATGTTCAGGGCCTGTTGTCATGCCACTAAGCGCCACAGAGATGGCGACAGCTCTTCCTGGACATAGACAGGTGATCAGATGCTGAGCAGTTGGACTCCTTAACAGGAGTTAGATGGGACTGTTTTTGGATGTGTTCCTTCAATAGGAATTCGCATTTTCGAAGGACGGGTACATGGTACGAGTGTACCCAACAGTCAATTCTTCCAAACGGAAGCTGTCAATGCTGGCAGGATTCCCCAGGCCGTGACATGGGGAAGAGTTTTAAAGTGGGTTTTTCTCAATGGAGGGATGCTGGACCCGGTTTCCAGCAGGTGCTGCTCGCTCCCACCAATATAAAGGAGCTCGAGATTTGGAAAGAGAAAAAAGAAAAAAATTGAAAAAAAAAAGAAAAAAATAAATAAAGAAAGAAAAAAAGAAAAAAGAAAAAAATACGTATACATTTGGGCATAGTCACGGCCAAATTCCGTCGGTCGCATCACACTACATCTAGCTGTGCCCATTTTCAGTCACATCGGACAGACTTTTCCGGATGGACGTGAGTGATCGCCACAGCGAGATTCACTTGCACTTTCTCCGATGTATTTAAACCACCAGTTCAACTCCCAGCCATTTTCTACAATGCAGCTGTGCTCGTGCCACAAGTTTTGCGGGCCAGCCTACCAGAGCAAAATGGCTGGTGATGCCAGCCAAAGGACGTTTGGCGCTGATTCGGTTTGGTGTGCAGGGTTTTTTCCAGGCTCTGCAAGGGAAACGTCACAAGTACTGGTGGTTTAAGTGAAGGTACTGCTGCATTCACCCGAATCACACTGACTTTACTGTATGTGTTTGAGCATAGTAAAAGGGCCTTTACCCGATATAGGCCTCAGGCCTTGTAAAAATAAAGCAGCACGGGCCTTGAAAAAGTAAAGCATTGTGAAAAGGTATCTCGTCAGAGCTCAGAAACGTGAAAGCAGGTCAAAGGTCAAGTTCT